TAGTGTAAAATATTACGAAATACCACTAACCCATTTTTTGCGTTATTTTTTTAAAACAACATATACGCATGTGAAGATGCGTGACCAGTTTTTAAACACATACACATGTCACATTGGGAGCTTTATTTTGGCATCCGCCTCTTTCTCCACACAAGGGCACAACATAAATGCAGCTCTTGCGCCCCCCCCCTCCACCTTTATAAACACTGAAAACAATATTACCTTCTCATTTCGCTCACCCCAACTGTGACCCTTCATATCGTATACATAGCGTGTGCCATAATGCCAAAGTTTAACTTTTTTCCAAAGGTCAATTTTTTAGCTTACATAAAAAGAATTAAGTTGAGGTACAACCCAACTGCCGCATACAATGACAACTGCCGTAGCTTAGTGTATCATATTGAAACGCAACAGAAAAAAGACAAATTCCTGGATCTGGAATACAAGCTGGAGTTAATTGAGTAATAGGAAAAAAAAAAAAAAAAGAAAAAAAAAAAAAAGGTGTTCCCCAAGAAAGGTGCCCCCTTTTGAACAGTAGCAAAGGGAACATTTATTTGTTTTCATAAAAGTAGTCTCCTCTTTTTAAAAGTTGCGCATTTTATTTTTAAAACACCTGTGTGGGTACTTCTCCCCTTAGAGTCATTGCAGTCAGCTCGTGCTTGAATAAACATATGCACGAGTTGATGTGTGGCGTGCCTTTTTTTTTTTTTTTTTTTTTTTTTTTAGTGTAAAATATTACGAAATACCACTAACCCATTTTTTGCGTTATTTTTTTAAAACAACATATACGCATGTGAAGATGCGTGACCAGTTTTTAAACACATACACATGTCACATTGGGAGCTTTATTTTGGCATCCGCCTCTTTCTCCACACAAGGGCACAACATAAATGCAGCACTTGCGCCCCCCCCCTCCACCTTTATAAACACTGAAAACAATATTACCTTCTCATTTCGCTCACCCCAACTGTGACCCTTCATATCGTATCGTATACATAGCGTGTGCCATAATGCCAAAGTTTAACTTTTTTCCAAAGGTCAATTTTTTAGCTTACATAAAAAGAATTAAGTTGAGGTACAACCCAACTGCCGCATACAATGACAACTGCCGTAGCTTAGTGTATCATATTGAAACGCAACAGAAAAAAGACAAATTCCTGGATCTGGAATACAAGCTGGAGTTAATTGAGTAATAGGAAAAAAAAAAAAAAAACAACAAAATACAAATGGGTAGATTAGCAAGCGGTGGAGTGAAATGGCGAATGACAGCCCATGTCACGGTGTTTGTCCTTTTCTACATAATAGGAGCTCTGTGACATCCCTTCATAGTTCACACCTTCTGCTTTTATTTTGTTTTTTCCCCTTTTTATCAACGCAGTTATAATGAAGAACCTTTGATAGAAATTGAAATGCAAAATAATAAAGTTTTCAAGTTAGCTAGTTTTTTTTTTTTTTTTTTTTTTTTTTTTTTTTTTTTTTGCGCGAGTGTGCGTTTGGCTAGTCGTTTTTTCTGGCAACTTCTTTGAATTAAAATATGCCTTTTTCCTTCATGTTAAAAGTTGCACTTGAGTGATTAGCGATTTGGACAACTGAACGCTCATTCCTTTTGGTCCAATTTGCGCCTTGCCTTACCAACATGTAGAATTCTTCACCATTACGAGTGTAACCAATTGCCCTTCACAACTGCAGGTTTAACCCAGAGAATTATGACTTGACAGAAATTCAGCGAGTGATAGACGAAGATCAGCAGCAGCGTAAGGAGAGAGGGGAAAAAAAAAAATGGACACACATGTATGCGTGTTATAAAGTGGATGCGTACATGTACATATGCACATGTTGATATGTGCTCATTTGTGTTTTATGTGTATCCGTTCAACTTGATAAGAAGGAGCACATAATGAACTACCACTCTGGGGTTTACTTTGTTTTCTTTATTTTTTTTTTTTCGTTTCTGTCCCTTTTCCATAGTGCACAAGAGCTTTATGAAGGCAAACTTGTTGGAGAATAATGAGAATTCGTTTTGAATTAAAAAGGATGTCCTCCTCAAGATTAATAAGATTTGTTACGCTCTCTTGCGCGTGGTCAACTTGGTGTACATGTGTACAATGACAAGTATGACAAGCGCATTACGAAGGAAAGAGCCACCATTTTGTGTAACAGCCATTTTGGGCAAGTTGCAACACGGAATAATTAGCTTAACAAAATTGCTACTACATTTTTTAGCAACACTTTTTGAGATGAGTTTTGAGGGTGGATGCGATGCAAATGGTCCACTTGTAATGTGTTGATTATGCACACATATCAAAAATAGAAAATTGGGCCATTACAAGAAATTAATGGTTGCAAGGATAACCTGAAGAGCAATTCAAAGGAACGTTTTGAAAAAAGTTGAAGGGGGGTCTCGAATTGAAACGCCATAATAAAAAAAGAGCAGTAGAAAAAGAAGTTGTAAAAAAAACGAATTCAGAACGAATCAGCAAACGAATTGCAAATGGCCTTTTTACGAAACAAGTAATGAAAAGGCGCCATGTCGCTGTGTCGTTTAAAAAAAGACACAATTTGTCACGCGAACGATATTTTGATATGAAACAAATTATAATAATGCAAATGTACAATCATATCACGCACTTGGCAGTTTGGTAAAATGGGGCCAACTGCAAGGAATGTGCGCCTACGAGATACTGCCTGCCATTTTTTGCTGCGCTTCATGCTGCGCTTTTGCGGCGATGGGACTATTGATTTACCGCTGACCCCAATTCAAATTTGCGCATGGCGGGATAAGCTGCACAGAGCAAATTGGTTGCACACAAAAAGGCGCATTGCACACATGCATTCACGACTGGTGGACACTTCACTCCCGTGACAGTGTCACTCCAGCTGTATATTTGTTAAAAACTTGATAAAAAAAATAACGCTTTCAAATAAGAAATTGATATTCGACCAGCTCGCTTGTATTTCTTGCAGCAGCACCTCTGTAGTGTTCCTAAGTTTTTTGTCTTTCATTTTGAGCAGCTTTTTGCCGTGTGCCTGGAAAAAAAAAAATAAAAATATATACATATATTATACACATATATACCTACACATGCTTATCTCCCAGTAAATTGCATCAACAACGAGCGCATGTATCTTGCCGCCTCTCCACAGCGGGACTTGTGCGCCAATAAAATATGCAAGGCTCACTTTTAAAAATATGAAAATGTATGCTTGAATCAGGTCGATGTTGTCGTTCGTCTTGACATGATAAATAAAGAAGTTCATCATGTTTTCCAGCTAAAAAAAAAAAAAAAAAAAAGAGGGGGTGACGGGAAAAAATGTAAATATGTGTATATATCTGCAAGTGCGAGTGTACGAATTTAGGTATGCGTATAGGTGGATGCCTTGGATAAGCAGAAACTGCGAGGGCAGAACTCTTACCTCGTCCTTGGAGCTCAAACAGAGGATGTTGAAGTGCACCCCGGACGGGGAGAGTCCCATCAAGTACTTCAAGACGTCTAAATGGGGGGTGAAAACGGGAAAGGAAACGGAAATGAATACATGTACACTTAAACAGAAGTGTATAAGGGTAGTTTTACGGAGTAAATATGTTTTTTGCTGCACAAGGAGGGAGTAAGGCCCCCCCCATGTGTTGCATTTTCTTTCTTTTTCGCATTTACTTATGTAGGAGTCCTCATTTTGGGCTAGCAGTTCCTGCAGCTTGGACATGGGCATTTCAATTTTATCCACCTTGGTGATATGTCTGTTTTTGTTGTTTTTCGTTTTTCGGGGTTTGCCTTTGGTTTTTGCGTGGCCGTCGCCAGGGCTGTCCACCTGGTTATCCCCTGTATCCTCCACTTCGTCAGCCACTGTGTCGTCAACTTTGTCTCCGACTTCGTCCCCCACTTCTTCAACTACTTCGTCAGCAACTTCGCCCTCCACTTCATCAACCACTTCGTCCCGCTCCGCAGTTTCCTCCTCCTCCGCGTCGGCCTTGTCCTTGGTGATATTTTGCAAAAACTCCAGTTCCTTCCCTTCTGCGTATTCTATATTTTTGTCCATTTGTGCGCTGAGGAAAAAGGGGATTTGTTCATTTTTTTTTACGCTCTCTTGTACCCTGCAATTTTCTTTTATTTTATCTAAGAAGATAATATAAGCAATCTTGGACATGGTAAATCCAGACATGGTGAGAAGATTTTTGTTGATTTGTTTTTCGCTGGATTTGTATGGTTCGATTAACTGCGCCGATTTGAGCGTTCCCTTATGGTTTGTCTCTGAGTGGGTCTTGGTAGAGGAGTCCCCTGCTAGAGTAGCGCTGCCATTCAGGTATTCATCATCCACGTCGCAATTCATCCCAATGAGTTCCGCCACAGTCGGTTCGGGATACGTGAGTGTGCTTTCCCCATCAGACAACTCCTCCATCAGGATGGCATCAAAGGAGCGATAATCATTAACCACGAAGTTGTTACTGTTGAAGAGATTTTTATTAGTAAAGGAGTAAAGATAATTTTCCACAGCTCTGTGTGCCGTGTACAAATAAACGTCATTATACACCATGGAAGTGATTTCACTTTTGAACAACAAATAATCAATAAAGGTGTTGGATATAATTTCGTACACTAGTATAGTATTATTTTTTAGAGCGAATAGAATTAATCTGTTGTCTGCACTGAAAGTAGCATTGGTAACTGCATAGGCGAAATCGAACCTTCTGGTTATTGATTTCTGTTCAATATCTAGGACTATTGTGTGGTTATTCGAAAGGCACACCACAGTGAGCATGTTAAAATGGTAGAAGGACGCTATGGAAACATCACAATCGTTGTGATTACTTTTATACTGAGGACTATTTAGGTACTCCTTTTTGATACAGTAGGAGTATATTAATTCACTTGTGTATATGTTCCAGACCCTTAAGTAAAGATCTTCCTTGCTGTTTGAAGCGGACACGAAATTGCTTATGCCGTACCGGTAAAGCTTTAAAATATCTCCATTTAGATGCGCCTTAGATTTGAAAGAGTACTTATTCACCTTGTACTCATTTCTGTAAGTTGCCGATTGCATATTGAAGGAATGAATTTCCCCATCGTTATAACCCACAATACCAATATGTCCACACGTAGATATCAACACACTCGTTGCGCTTTTCCTTCTCTTTCCCATTTCTCCTTGATCGTTTTCGAAGTCTCCATTTTCGTTGTAGTGGTCATATATTTTGTACTCTTCTTCTTTGAATTCGCTGGGACCTTCCTGCGCATGCTTGGACAGATTATGGATCCATTGGAAGAGGCCTTCCTTCACTCCATTGGGGTCATTGTGTGCCTGTGTGTCCACTCCTTGGCCTCTTCTCTTTGATGCCCCCTTTCCCCCTCCCCTCATCATGCGCTCTTTGGAATTCCCACTGATAACATCACCAGGAAGGGACAAAAATACATTTTCTATAATCTTCTTGTAGGAGGAGGCCAAGTAAACACGTGGACAGTCCCTCACACATACGAGCATATTATTCCAATCGTAGTGCCTATTAGGATTAATATCAAAATCGATAATGGTCCTATCTATGAGGTTAATTTTTTTGTTCCATGAAAAGTCTTTATTCTGTTCAGGGCAATGTGGGTTTATGATGTAGAGATTTCCTTCCCGTTTATTTGCCTCATTTGCAGAAACCACAATTTTAAATTTTTCGTCATCCAAATATTTTACATTATTGATGAATCCAACGCAACTGTTCCTCCTCTTCATAACATCCAAGGTGAATGTGGACTTATGCAAGTTGAGCAGATTAATCTTGTTGTCGCTTTGTCCTACTGTAAATAGGTACCCCCCTTGCGGAGGTATCAATATGGCTTTCACACAATCGTGAGCATCTCGTAAAATGAAATAGTTACTGCTATTCAAATCGATCATAATAATTTTCCCTAACTCGGTGCCTACCAAAATGACTGACATGCTTTCACTATTACAAGTATAATCGTAGAACTGCACACAAGTAATTTTGTCCTCATTCATGTGTACATTCTTTGAGTACACCAGTTCGTCTCTCTCCATGTCCACTATGTAAAGCTCATTGGTTGACGTTACAATGCATAATTGATCCTTCTTCGTGGTTAGGGTCATAATTTTTACGTTTTTTTCGCTTCCTAAGGTCACGCTCCGGAGAGCACTATACTCGTGGATTATTTTCTCCTTGTTTATGTTGTACAGGTATATTTTATTTTCACTCGTTAGGATGATCACTTTGTTTATGTACCCTGGGGGGTGGATGACGGAGCGTATTTCGACATCGGAGTGGTCGTCAAATAGGAGGATCCTTTTGAAAAGATGTTTCTTCCCGTTTGGGCAGCCACTCATGGTTGTATCCCCCGGGACGGGAGCTTCTTCTCCCTCCTTCTCTGCTTTCTCCTGATAAGATGCGTCTTCTCCCTGCCCTGTTTCACTGCAGGAGTCGCTAACAAAACCGTCGTCATCGCATCCCTCCTTGTGCACGTCGTTCCATATGACTATCTCCTTTTTGCTATACGTTAGCAGGTAATCATACACAGTTAGAATATTTACAATTGTATGCACGTCATCCTCCAAGGAGAAGATTTTTTTCCCACCTGACTCATTCACCTTGTAAACTTTTTTTCTGAAAATCACATAGACGTACCCATTTGCGCAGTACAGATTTTGTATGTCTTCTGGGTAGTGCTCGGATGCGTAGGCCTTCCTAAGTTTATGTGGATCCAGGACATAAAATGCGTTTTTGGCACTTGTGATGACGAAACACTGTTGCCCCTTCATCGACAAGCACATTATTCCGTTGTGCACAACTAGTCCGATGGTCCCAGTGGACATAAGCAAGTTGCTTTGTTTGTGAATTTTTCTCCTATCAAATTTAAACGAACTGTCAATTCCTTCCTTGGTATCTTCTTCATCCCCATTCGTGTAATCATCGCCTCCTTTGGGGGAAGTTTTTACCGCCCTATTTGGTTTCCCCATTCCATTCACCCTTGCTCTATCTTTGAAGAATTCATTTTTTACATAGATGTTGTTAAGCTCTCCATTGTTCAATTTCGTCACTCTGTACTTGTTCAGTATGTTTTTCGACTTTTCTATGGATTCTTCATTATTTGGTTTTTTGCTTTGTTGGTGCTGCAGGTAGGCTTGGGCGGGTTTCTTTTCTGAGGCAAAAACGTCACTCAGTTTGAGCGCCACATGTGGGGCGTTCTTCTCCACGCCCATGTTGCCGTCCTTTTTCGTCTCGTCCGACCGGGGATGCTACCTATATATATAGCGCATTTAGAGTCTGCAGATGGCGCAGCGCGGTGAAGAATTCACCTCACAAATGAAGCCAACGAATGGGCCTACAGAAGGTCACTCCCTGTTGACTTCGCTCAAAATCATCGTCGCGGGTATAGGACGACTGAGAACCAAATTAGGGGGTGGAGTTCCACTTTGGTCGTCCAAATAAAACAAATGAGCCAATTGGAAAACGCCGGGAACTCCTTTTCTACAAGAAAAGGGGGCAAGGAACAAATGCGCCGCTCTCAAGAACGCATAAAAAAGTCGTCTGAGAGCAGTATGCGCTGAAAGAACTAACCAAGTTAATTCCAAACTTTTTTATTGTTTATCTTTTCACCCGTGGCGCAGCTTATGGACGCGTATTGATACGCAAGAGTTAACTCCGTACAGCTGTACTTGTAAGGTTCACATAACATGCACTACGGCTAAACAAAAAAAAAAAAAAAATTAAGAAAATATAAGTTGGAAAATTCAAAGCGTTACATTTTATTTGTAGTATTATTGTCCCTATTAAGAAAAAAAAAAAAAAGAAACAAAAAGGCATACTAATTGCGTATATATATATGCGTATTGCCTATATAGGGGCCGTGCTTTTGTGAGGCGCCCTGTTTAGCGACAACAATCCGCAGGTGGGCCCCGCGGTGCCAACTGGTCACAGGGGCGTGAGAAAAAATACAGCATATGACCCATATACGTACTTGTACGCATAAAATAATTGTGCAGTGGAGAAAAAAAAAAAAATAAGTAAAAACATGTGGACTGCTATCAGCGCATATTTTTCCTTTACCTTTTGTCAATTTAGCGCATATTTTGTCATTTATTTATTGTTCCTTTTTGTAGCAATTTTATTTAGCCTTACTTTTTTTTCTTTTTTTTTTTTTTTTTCTACATTTCGTGCGTTTCCCCATTTACTTTGTTTTAGTTGGAGAAAAAAAAATCTATAACTGCGCAAAGTGTTCCTTT